GAAAGAGGAGGGAAGTGATGAGACTCCCTAATTGGCCCGAATTGGAATCTCAGAGCCCCAGCCCTCACTGGGGCCTCCAGGAAGTGTCTCCCCTTGGGGCTGCAGTCTCCCACTGTATAAAACGGGGAGTAATGAGTGACCCTGTCCCCGGGCCATTGGGAGAGGTGAAGAGCTGAGGTACCATTCTCTGCACCTGTGGTTCCCCCTGTATATGGTGACATCCCAGGGCAAGGCACCCCTCTGTACCCTGCAGGAAGAAAGAAGCTATCAGGTACTGACGTCTTAGTGTGAGATCCCCACCACAGAATAAAAATGACTCGCTGGAGCTCCTGGAGGGTCAGTGGGCTGGCTGTGACATGCAGGTGATGATGTCACTTATCCTAGCCTCTGTGAGGATCAATAAAAATAACAAAACACAGTATTTATCAGTGCCAGGACTCCAGGGTTTACTTTTTGAGCACATTCTCTTTAATTCTGTTTGCAACCTCCTTGAGAGCCTTTTGGTTGTAATCTGAAAATGGCCCACAGACACGGAGGGCAAGGAGAGACTGAAGAAAGAGGTAGATGACTCCAGATTGGGCATGTGAAGCCCTCACCTTAGGACAGGTACTTGGTGAGGACCAGGGAGGCTCAGGTGCTTTGTGGGTGGGATGGCCTGGTTTCTTACCTAGTTGTTTTACTAGTAGCTGTGTCACACAGCTGGCAATTTGTTTATTCCAATTTCTTTGAAATACATGCCTTGGCAATCGAAAGCTTCTTGCTAGGCCCTTACACTACAGGGATGGATCTTCAGAGTATAGAGAATTTTTGTCAGTAAAACTGTATGATATAAAAGTAGTTAATATCATTACACCGAGGACTTATAATAACTTCAGTATCATAATTTGTAGCCTAACATTTGTGTATTTTGCAGTTTGGGCTCTGAAGCTGCTTACAAGTCATGACTTTGCTCTTCGGGGTGTGAAAGCCCCCACAGGGCAAACAGCCCCCCAGTGCTGACTGTGTTGATAAGTGGTACTCCCTAAACAGTTCATGACACTTTCTGTACTAAAACTGACCATAATTCTTTTTCTGCAGGCCTGAAATGAGACTAGGACATTGATGATTGTTCAGTCACATATCGTTCATGATTCTTATCTCACAATCCCACTTGCTGACCACTGAGTCCAGTTGCCCCCCACCAATCAGAAAATGAATGGTGTAAGTTCGTGAACTTGTTTCCTTAGCCACCCGTCTCTGAGAGTCACCCCCTTACAACTCGTGATTTTAAAAGCCGTGCCCCATTCTCCCCAATTCAGAGCGTGTCTTTGTTTTATACTAAAAGCTATGTCCCCTCATTTGCAAATTGTATCAGAATAAACTCCATTTAATTACACAGAACTGTCTTCTGGAAATTTGTTGACATATTCGTCCAAATACATAGAATGTACAACACCGAGTGAACCTTATGTAAACTAGATTTTGAGTGGTGACGATGTGTCATTGTAGGTCTATAAATTGTAATAAAATTCAGTAGCATGGATATGGATAAGGAGGGAGGCTGTGCAGGTGTTGGGGGCAAGAGGTACAGGGAAAATCTGTGTACCTGCTGCTCAATTTGGGATCGTGAAACTCCTCTAAAAAATAGTCTATTAGAAAAAGAATACCATTAGCTTAGTTGCTCTCTGGTTGAGATACATGTAAGATTGCTAAAAGGAGTTGAGTAGTCATCTTAGGATATGTAGTAAGAATTACTGTATGCGTAAGACAGTGTTCATCAATGGGTAGGACACAAACACTGTCACACGGTGACACCGGCAAGGGAGTTTTCCGGTGGAACCAGAGGCAGAGCTCTAGCTCGTCCACCTGCTTCACGGCAGCCTGACATCTTTTTCCTTCTCATGGTCCTCTGTGGAATCTTTTCTTCTTGACCAAACGTAATGGCAACACGGAATAACGCTTCAAGCTACATGAATTTCAAGAACAATGACAGTGTTTCTAGCCCTGCATGGACTCATGTTCTCTGAATGTCTATGAAATGATAGGGCTACTTACATAAGTTTATCTGGGAGCATGTCAAGTAATGTTTTAATCATCTGGGAGTAGGCAGAGCTTTACAGAGTCTCAAATAATGTCTCTTCTCAGCCTTAAACAATGAGCAAAACCACTCCCTCTGTTGCGGTCCAGGCACCGTTTTCCCGCTTTCCTCTCAGTGGCTCACCACTAATGCCCCGGTATGTAAGGTGTAGAACAGCTTCCGGCCCCCTCTGAAGTGCCAGGAACTACGTTACCCAGAAGGCCCTGCGGGATGCCCCCGCGAGGAGCCAATAACGGATCAGGATGAGGCGTTTCTAGGCGTGCGCGTAATGTTGGGGCGGGGCTTCCGGCCTCCTTTGGGCTTCCGTTTTTGTTGCTCCCTCGGTCCCGAGCACAAAATTGGGGTCAAGTCGAAGAAAGAAGTCAGCGTGACTAGGACCGTCCCCGCCGCATAGACGCCCGAGACTTTGCGACGTCGCCGGGGTGACGCGCGCCAGGGCCCGGGTAGGCGCCGCTGTGCCCTGGGCCCCCTCTCCGGACGCTCCCGCCCCGGTCAGTCCCTGCAGGGACCAGAAAAGTAATAATTACTTCCTAGCGAAGAGTTGCAATCATCCATTTAAGGTACTCCCGGCAGGTAAAATGCAAAATTGCAGAAAGCAATTAACAATAACTATGTAGCGATTCAAAGATGGTAGCGGAAATAGTCCTGGTGAAACATCAGTGGATGGTGAAAACTACTGAATGTTACGTGCATTTGGATCTGTAGCTTTGGGGCACATCCGAAATCATACGTGTAAAGAAAGCTCTGGGAGCGAGCTGAACTTCGTCTCCAGAAACCTGACTTCTGCCCCTTTAAGGAGGGACTGAGCTCTTTCTAAGCCCTCGGACCCGGAGACCCCAGTTCCCAGCGTCTCTCGGGGTTCTAAAATTTTCTGCGGGAGGTCGGAGCGGGAGCGCGCGCCTCGATCGGTAGGAACTACATTACCCTGCATGCTCTGCGTCGAAAGGCAGCCTCCGTGAGCCAATGAGGGCTCAGGATGGAGGCGTTTCCGCATGTGGCATCGAGCGCGAGGCGGGACTTCCGGCGTCCTCCTCCCGGCGGTCATTTTGGCTGCCTCGGGTGTGTTCCTCCAGGCGCAGGTCCCAGAGTGCGGGGTCGTTGCTGGCGGACGGGACCGAGAACGCGTCGGAGGGATCGTTGTCTCCACCTTACAGAGGCCAGTGTGAGGCTCGGCCGCGGAACCGCCGGAGATGAACCGAACCGGGGCCGGGATACGAACTTCCAGCCGGCTCCCGGTCCCGCTCCGCCCACAGGCCGGGATGGCGGCGGCCACGCCGATGGACGCGGCTCAGGTGAGTCCGCTTAACCCCCGGCCTCACCGCCTCACCCCACCCGAATCCCAAAGCCCCGGCTGCCGACGCCGCTCCCGTCGTGCAGCCCAGGCCCCGGCGTCCGGGACAGTGAGGCGCTAGTAGAGGGGGTCCCGTTTCTGGTAGTGACTGTGACTGCTTAGTTTTACTGCTGGGGGTGCGATTAGGTGTAGGAGAGGGTTACGGGCAGAGGAACCGGTATGTGCAGAGGCTCGGAGGTGCGACTGAGCCGGGAGGCTTTGGGAAAGCTGGGGTCCGTTGTGCCTGCGAGGAACGGTGTTTTGCGGCTGAGTCACGCCTAGAATAGCAGACTGAGGCTTCTGCCTACATTCTGAAGACTCCAGAAGCCATGGAGAATTTTAAACAAAGGAGAGACACTAGTTACATTAGGGTTTACAAAGTTTCCCAAGTGTCGTCCAAGGGAAGAACAGACCGAAGGCAGGTCATGAAGACACTGAGGCACTAGGTGACTGAATCTTTGTTCAAGGGCGCAGAGCTGCTAAGATGAGACACTTAGGCACAGAGGTTAGACATCCAGCCCTAGTCTGCCTGGCTCAAGGGCCAGGCATGGGTACACAGGGGCATGAACCCACTGAAAGCAGACATGGTCGTGTTCATTAATAACCTGCTTCTTAGGGCCTGATGTCCTTACCTAATCTAATCACTTAGTCAAATGGTGGCACCTGCCCACACCGTTACATTGGGGTTAAGGGTTAACACATGAATTCGGTGTGTGTGTTGGGGGCGGGGACACACATCAGTCTGTAATAGGGATGAAATGAGGATATATACAAAAAACATGGAGGAGCCACTGAATACTTAGCTGAGTGGAAGAATTCAGACAGAAAGAACAGACCACTTAAATCCACTGAGAAGGTCCTAGAAAATGCATAACATAAGTAGATCAGTGGCTGTTTGTGAATGGTGGTTGGGATGAGCAAATATGTCATGGAAAAGGCTATGACAAAACTTTGGAGTGGCGATGGTTGTGTTCAGTATGTTGACCGTGGTAATGGTTTCGCAGGTGTGTTTGTTAAAACTCATCAATCACATTGTACACTTTAGATAAGTTCAGTTATAGGTCAAAAGCCACAAAAAGATAATTGAACAATACTTTTACTTCAGCAAGATAACGAATCTATCTGAGGTGAATGATCGAAATGAAAGGAATAAGGGAGAAATTGTAGCTACCAGACTAGAAACCTGAAGAAAAGGAGAACTAGGTTGTGTTTATTTCTCCTCCTCTACCCAGTGGTATCAATATGCAGTTAAGGATAAAGTAGAAACTCCCCAAAATGAAAATGGAGCTGGTGTCACTGCCATGCTATCAAGGCTGGAGGAGGATCCAGCCTGAGATAGTCCTAAAATCACGTAACCCAGTGTCGTTCCTACTAAGAGGATGGCCTGTGGGAGGACAGTGGGGAGAGGGAGGTTCGTTAGGATTGTTGGAGTTAGAGCAGTTTCTAGGCCAGAGCGGTAGGCAGCACTGCCTCACTTCAAAAAAAAAAAACTCCTAATGGTTAGATTATGTGTTAAAGGGGAATTAAGGCAGTCTGGAATTAAGAATGCTAATTGACTCATCGAGAT